GGCAAAAACAATCTGAGACTTGGACAATACTGACTTACCATTCCCTTTAGAGGAGCTACTTTGGGAGGTTTGAAAGCATTAGTCTCCACACTTTCCTGGTTGTAATGAGCTGTCGCTGCTGAGAGAGCATCCGTGTAGCTGAAGGTCTTCTTTGCTAGAGACACAGTGGCCACAGCAGCCATGCAGAGCAGCAGCAGATATTCAACTGAAGTTCTCATCTTGTCAGTGAGCTCTTTACTCTCAGATGGTGTTTATAATCTGCCCCAGACAGCAGACAGCCTTTTGAATGTTCTGAAATTGTGCAACACACTGCAGAACATGGTGGATGTTTGCCTTTGAGGAATTTAGGAAACTTTATTTTGGGGGAATTGTGTCATGATATGACTTCGAGTTTCAAACTTTCCAGTAAATTTGAAAACATGATGAAGGAGGCAGTACTAAAGCAAATCAATAACTTGCTCAATGGTACATTGTGGGAAAGGTAACAGTAGACAATCGTGGAAAGGAGTAGAGGGTGTTTATGTATTGTGCCCCTCAAAGTAAATATTGATTTTGGCCTTCAAAAATATTGATTTCTTAATCTTGTAAAGATACAGTATGTTCTTTGTGCCAGTCAGAGAGATGTGAGTACATGAACAGCCCATTTGGAGATGAAGTGCAATGGTAACACTACCAGAACTACACAATAAAATTCCTACAGCATTTCCTCATGATGGAAAGCACTAAGGTGAACTCTTGCTCTTTTAAAGTTCTACATTTGTGTGATTATTGCTGCAGTCACTCCTAAGGTCTTCTGAGAGCTGGGTTTCTTATTTTCTCCTTCATTGTTCAGATTTCTTTTACTTGCTGTTTTTCTTCTCTATTTTACCCCTTTCCCTTTTCCTTGTATTTCATTTCCACTGTCACACTCCGAGCAAAATTCCTACTTGGGATAACATTTGGATTGTCAGAACCCTGCAGTCTTAATGGCCTGGACTACCAATTCCATTATCCATCCATCCATTTTCTAAAACAATTAATCCTGGTCAGGATGATAGGGTGCAGGGGCAAATCCCAGCTAGCAAGCTACGCCCAGTACTGAAGGTTAACTGGAGCACCCAGAAGACACCAACGCAAAGACAGGGAGAGCATACAAATACCATACAGATAGCAATCTCTTAAAATGGCATAATAAATGTTCCAAAAAAATTAATACTCCTGCAGGCTGCGCTTTGCTTGCAATAATTACCTTATTGAAATCTGACATTAATTCCTTTTTCATGTACAATTTTTAAAAAGTGTGATTTATGTTCTTTAAACAGCACATTGTTGTTAATTTGTTTGATGGTTTGAGTGCAAAAGTGTTTTTGGATTCCCTCTATGGATTACTTTTGGATTGTTTGTCTCGGCCACACCTTCCCCGTGAACCAGCACACTTTGGACACGCCCTCCAATTTTCAGCCCCGTATTCCTGCATGACTTTTTCCTAGTGTTTCCCCGCTTCTTCGGATTGTGTCGTCCACATAGGGTCCAGAAAGAACTGTTCATTACAATGTATCATTCTAAGAACAGGTTAAAGTCTCAGAATTTCCTCTGATTGATAACAATATCCTACATTCTGCCTTTCATCTCTTTATGTACTGTAAATGCAAAGAGAGGACCAGTCATCCTTCAAAATAATTTAACAAAAAACATGTTTTGTTGAAAATTTAAAATATCTTTTATTTATTTTGCTTTGTTTGTAGATGGCAATTTCAGTTATAAGTGAAATTTAAGAGTGGATTTATTATTCAACAGGATCAACACAGTAGATGTTTTGGCAAGGTGAACATTCATATAGTAGCAATAAAATGTGGAAGTTTCAGCATTTGTGAGTGTATTACTTCACCAAGAGAAATCCACAGTACATCAGTGTAATTCAGCATATTATTAGGCTTTGTCATTACAGTACGTCACTACAGAGAACATTATTCACATATGAGATTAAGCAAGATTGGATTTCCTTATTGGAAATTGAGAAAGCAGCATTTAGAGGGAAAAACAATTCCTGTAAACCTGCTGGTATTTATTCACCCCAGAAGTAGCAGAAACAAGTCGGAGTTCATCAAGACTGACAACAATGTACTTTTTGTGTATCTTCTGTAGATAAAAAGTGTTGGTGTTCATTTGTTCTATTTAAATGATGCACTACTTGTGTTTTAATTAATATACTAAGATTTACTGTATAATAAATATTAGGAAATTCTGAAATTTCCCAACAGACTTGAGCTGAAAAAGCTGGCTGCTTTTCAAAAGTCTCAGCCCAGATTCATTGGAAGGAAAATAATCTCCAGTGGATACCTCCTGCTTCTGCTCTCCAGTCTCATTACTAAATCTTGAAAAGCATTATGTAAATAAATATGCATATTTTTTGGTCTTTAGTGTGGGGAAAAAATGTGATATGTTCATGTACAGTACCTGGATAAATGACCAGAGATATTCAAATATGAGGGTGTAAAGCTATAGTTGATATAAATATTATTAGAATGAAACCAGCTAAAAATTATGAAAGGGAACCAAAAAAATGAATGAGTAAACAGAAAATGTATATTGGTGCCTTAGACCTTATGGCATGTTATTTTGCAAGAGTAAATGATTGTGATAGAGGCATTCTATAGCAGCATCATTTTACAGACATGACAGAAGTATAATCCTTAAAGTACATAATATCTCCTATCAGCCTATTGTATTTGTAATGGACTGACAATGTCTTGGTATTTATGAAATGGCTCACATGTAATGCTTTAATATGTGGACATATATTTATTATTATTATTATTATTATTATTATTATTATTATTATTATTATTATGCCTGAGAGAACACATGGGAACAGACATATTCCCCCTATGAGCTTTTCACCTAGTCATGTTGGAACAACTATCAATTATTGAACGCTTAGTTCAAGCCTGGGTTGTTATCTGCATGGAAGTTGTACTGTATGTTCTCCCTGTGTTTGTATGGGTTTCCTCTGGGTACTCCAATTTACTCCCACAGTCCAAAGACAAACTGGCAGATCATTTGGCTTCTGGGAAAACCGGCTTATGTGAAAATACAGTATGTGAGTGTCCCTGAACTGGATAAATCTGTTAGATAATGGATGAATGGAATATTACTAATACACTAATACAGATAAAAATGGTAATTCATCCAGTTATACACCACCCACAACCCTTGATTGTTTGATTTTACAAGTTAAATACATTTCAAATACATTGTAATTAACAATGTTGACTCAAACACCCTGGAGCAATTGCTGTGAAGTGCTTTGTTCATGGATAAAATAGTAGTATTCCATGTGGGATTTGAACCTATTCTAAGGATAGAAATAATGTAATTGGAAATTACATATTATATGTGGTGTAGGGGACATTTTCAGAAGAAAGTCATAATACCTGTATAGTAGCTTTGCATTCCAGCCACAGCAATCTGTTGAAGGCTGCAGCTGCACATGTATTTCTAATAATACAGTATCATACCAAGTTAATGAAAATTTGCCATAGCAAAGGAGAGGAGTCACAAACATAAATTCACTAAATAAATTTTATTTGAATCCAAATCAATAAAAACAATGTAAAAGGCAATGTAAAAGGCAGCTGGGACTTCCAAAGATAGATGTAGACAGCACAGAAGCTTTAGGAAAACTAAATATATAATTTGTTTTATGGCAGATACTCAGTTTTTGGTCATCAATAAATGCATCACCTTTTCAGAATCCAGAAATGAACTTCAATCATTTGTTTTCCACTTTTGTATCACGTTTGAGTTTCAACAGTTTCAACTGTTCCACAGCCTGGTAGGGGATAAGAATCAGATGAATATGCCACCTTGTGGATGAAAACTGAATACTCTTTATGTCCAAAAAAGGTTTATCCAACATGGATCCCATAAAGCTTGGCATGTGATGCACTGTGTTGAAAATAAAATCCTTGCTCTACAGGCAGAGCAACTTAAAAAACGTGAAAAGGGTTTCTTAGAGTGTATAATAATATGGGAAGACATGGCGACACAGTGGTTAGCATTGCTGTCTCACAGTGCTGAGGCTCTGGGAGCAATTCTGCTATCTGTGTGTAGGTTCATATAATCTCCCCAAGTACATGTGGGTTTCCTCCATGCTCCATGCTCCAGCTTCCTTCCACAGGGCCTGCAATTGACTGACATCCCATCCAGGGTATACCCTGCCTTGCACCTGTTGCTTCCAGCTCCCCAGTAATTAGCATTGCTGCACACGGAGCTGGGGCCCTGGGTTCAATTTCTTGGGTACAATTTTCATGGAGTTTTTATGTTTTCCCTGTGTTCACATCCAAAGACATTCTGGTAGGTTAATTAGCTTCTGAGAAAAATGGCCCTGGAGTGAGTGTGTACATCTCTGTATCTGTGTTTGCCCTGTGATGGACTGGCATCCCATTGAAGGTATATCCTGCCCCTAGTTGCTGATCTCGATAGGCTCTGGCTACCCCATTCCCCTGTATTGGATGAAATGGTTATAAAATGGGTGGATGGGTGAATAATAGAATGGATGGTTCTTTTGGATCCATGTTAATAAACTTGAGAAGAGTAACAATGATACTTAAAACAATTAATAAAAAAGAGAAGCAAAGACAAGGTACTAAAAGAATGAAAGAAAAATATTAAACAAATTTTGTAAATTGTCTGAAGTTCTTAGCAGTGAAAAGCACAGTTTTGAATTATGTTGCTGTCCATCTTTTGATTTCACTACCTGCGAAAGTCTAGTGCTTTTGACTCCCATAGTTATGTTGACCTATGGAAGACCCACTCCCTGACCTTTGTCCTGGAAGATGCTGATTACCATCTTGCACTCCCTGAAAAGAACATTGAAAAAAATGATGCATTTCAATAATTCACATCTTAAATCAAGACGCACTTGATTTGATGCATGTTTATTAGCAAACTTTAATAATGACTTAACCAAAATCTGTATATGATAAAACAGCTATAATAACAGAAAAATATAAAGAAAAATTCTGTGACTGAACATACAGTTATAATGGAATATCACATTATGTGGCTATAATTGAATGCTGTTTCATGATTATCAAGAAGTGAGAACATTAACATTGTTTTCTGAATCTGAATCCAGATCTTTCGTTGGAAGATGAAAGCAATACTGGCATCATCATCATCTTGCACTTTTCTTATATGAAATGCTATTTTTGGGGTACAATAACAGTAATAGTGATTGTACTAATAAGAAATTAAAGTTAGAAATAAAAGTATTTCAGTAGTTCTGTCAAATCATAATTACTAGAAAATAAGCAGAGGGATAGCATATTTAATAATTTGTGTTTGGCACTAACTCGCCTAGCTGAGAAAATGACAGCCCTGGCTGAAGAGCAGAGCTGTCACAATTCCCCTCTGTCACAACCCCGCCTAATCAGAATAAATGCCACCGGCATTCTGACACAGCTTCAAACAATCATAATCAAGCACCTGTCAATTCCTGCAAATGACACCGTCTGGACTAATTACCATATCACACTCCCCAATCACTACCACACCCTTAGAATCCCAGAGTACTTATGTACACCGGTTAACAACTACAGCTTTGGATAAGTACTCCCTGTTTTTTCCCTTCTTTGTCTTTACCCTGCGTTCCACCTCGCCTGGGAAATAGCATAGGGTTCATCATTTCTCTCCTGACATTACACCTTCACTGGTAAGGAATTAGCCAGGTAGCTGCTACAAGGGTGCAGTTGTAGAGGAGAGAAGGCATATATAATAGCAACTTTATATTTCTATAATAGCAACTAATAGCAAATATAAAGAAACTTTATGTTTAAGAACACAGTTTAAGTGCAAGATTACAATTTGATCTCCTCCCAGACTTCTGTATAGCAATACTATTTTAGTTCAAATTCCAAACTATACAAATTGAGCCTATGAATATAACGGGATAACATACTTTACTTTTGTTTGATACTTAAGGTTTTGGTTTTACCCAATCTGTCTGAGGAAATGACAACCCTGGTTGAAGGTCAGATTTGTCACAGCCACCCAAAAAATAAAGAGAAACCCAAAAGACCAGTGCAGACCTCAATGCTATTGGAGTGTGAGCTTTGTTTGGTTGGGTATGTTTGGATATTGTAAAGATACATAGGAGCTCATCAGAGAATGTGCTGTAGAATGGAGTGGATGAGAAGCTTTGGATATGCAATGTATCGGAGAAACACTGATGACTAATGTAATGAATAGGAAGTATGATACAGGCGATGGAATGTAAGTCAGTGAACAGGTATAAAACCCAAGACCTTAGCTTGCTTGAGTTAGGAATTCTGTGGTGGGCAGCAGAACATGTTGTGATGACCTGGAAAGAGTAGCCAGAGGTGAACTGTACTGATGGTGAAGTAGAATAGGAACTGGTAATGAGTGATCACATGCAGAAGTGACAAGAACCGAGTAGATGAGGACAGGTTCCAGTGGATTTCTCAATGAAGAAGAAATATCAGTTACATTTGAGGATGAAAGCTTGGATGGGAGAAAGTGGGGGACATTCTATTTAGGTGCCAGTGGATGGGGGGGTGAAAGGGGGGTGGGGACCCAACACTGTGGCAGATCGATTCGCAAGCGAGGCACTGGCACCAGGGGTGGCAAAAAGTTGTCCCATGTGCAGACTGATGTTGTGTGTTCACATCCTTAGGGCAGAGTGAACATTAGTAACCAGAACAGGTCTTATGGGAACAGTGAAGAGGAGGAATGGGAAAAGGAGAAAGAGACATAACAACAAGGACAGGCTGGCTGGGACCGTAGGTGCAGTTGGCTTGTTTGTTTGACAAGAAATGGAGAGAAGGCTGGAGGAGAGATTGGAGTGAGTGGGGATACTTGGGGGCGGAGCGGTGGCTCTGTGGCTCTGTGGCTAAGGATCTGTGCCTGTGGCTGGAAGGTTGCCGGTTCAAATCCCGCGGTTGGCAGAGGAATCCTACTCCGTTGGGCCCCTGAGCAAGGCCCTTAACCCCAACTGCTCCAGGTGCGCCGTACGATGGCTGACCCTGCGCTCTGACCCCAAGCTTCTCTCCCTGTCTGTGTGTCTGTGTTTTCATGGAGAAAATCTGGGTTACGCGAAAAGACGAATTCCTAATGCAAGAAATTGTATAGGGCTAATAAAGAAACATCACATTACATTACATTACAGTAGTTGAAGACAGAATGGATACAAAATGGCTGTGATTGTTACCAGTCCCAAGGATGGTTAATGACATTGGAAGAAAAGAGTGGACATTGTGCGAATTGCAGGGAGGAGATTTATTGTGGGTAGACTGAGAGTGGAGAACTGCTTATTGGAGAAGAGGTGAGGAAAGAGAAGTGGAAGAGGAAAAAGCAACAAAAATTAATATTTAAAAATACTGAGTGTGAGAGACCTTTGACTCCGGAAAAAACTAAACGTAGAGTGCTATAAAAGATACGTGCAGAATTGTGCAGGCAACTATGTCTATTGTATGTAAGAGAACATAAGAGTGTAAATACAATTTGACCTTCTCCTGAACAAGTTTCAGAGCACCTTTAGATAAACTTTAAAAGGCTTAAGATTCTGCTAAATATGAACAGAGTGAGTTATTTAACGAACATTTAAACAATTTTTGTTTTATTAATTTTTTGATCTTTTGTGAATTCACAAAGACTTTAACATTGCCCTTAACTGTTTGTTATAATGTTACATGATACACAGTGTAATCAATTTAAGGAAAGTTTAAAATCCAAATAATTGTCACTTTGAAGTACAATAAAGTATAATTCAATATGTTAAAAGTTAGCCACTAATTTGCCTTTAAAACCATGGGCATCCATAAACCTCATGATTGCCGAGACCCATATCACAAACGTAGATTATTTTCTTACCTCTTCAAGCTTTGTTGGGATAGGCGCACAAGTAACTTTGATATTCTTTACTTTAGAAAGGTTTTCCTTTAGCACAGAAACTAGAGAGTTACACTTTAATTGCATCTGTAAAGGAAAAAATGGGCAGACATTAACAGGCAAATTTCACAAATACTTTACAGTATTTGACAATTACTATTTGAATTCAGGGTGCTTTTTGAAATGTTAGGTATGTGTTATAATAAAGGAGTTACAGTATGTTTTCAGTTTAGCAGCATGGTATATGACCTGAACAACAAGATAGAACCATACAATGCACTTACCATCAAACAAAACATACATACACTTACCATAACATACAAAACATAAGTAACAAAATAATTAATCTTTAATTTTTAAATACAAATATAATCTATGGAAATCGGGTGTGGCAGTGGTTAGCATTGCTAACTCACTGTGCTGTGGCTCTGGATTTAATTCTGGACCTGGGATGCTATCTGTGCGGAGTTTGTATGTTCTCTCTGTGTTTGTTTGGTTGCCCCCAGGTGCTCTGGTTTCATCCTATAGTCCAAAAACATGTTGGTAGTTGCCTTGGCTTCTGGGAAAAATTGGCTCTGGTCTGAGAGTGTGCATGTTTGTGTATGTGTGTAATCTGTAACTAACAGGTGTCCTTTCCAGGGAGTATCCTGGCTTGTGCTCTTGTTTGGTGGAATAGGCTCTAACTCCTCTGTGATCCTGTATTGGATAAAGAAGCTAAAATATGTATGTATATATAGCACTTTTAATTCTGATCCCAAGGATCCCAAAGTGCTTTGCATCAAAAAGGGGACCCACTTCATTCACCACTGAAGTGCAGGACCCTCCTGCGTGATGTGCAAAACTATTATGGGCCAGCAGCCCACCTTTAAAGCAGATCAGAGAAAAGAGAGAGACTGCCTCACCAATTGAATTGAATCAAGGTGGAAAATTAGTTAGGTCAGAGTGGGATTTAGCCAGGACCTAATGGTTAAGACCTAATGGTTTCACTACCCTGTAGTGGCAATGCTTGTGTAGTGTGCTCTCTGAAGGCACCAGTTCAGTACGGTTTGGACATTTACTGGGACAATTATTAATTGTAGCAGTAAATCACTAAATTGATTCTTTTGATGGCTTTAGAATCCAACCATGCGATATAACTCAAACAAC